CTCCGGAACCCTTTGACATATCGACTTGAAATTTTGCCATCTTATTGTACTCAAAACAATATTATGTCATTAAAATATGAAGGAAATCGGAAAACTCTAAGGTGGTTTTTCCGGGTTTTTTCGATTTTTCACCGGAAGTTCCTTGTAATCACTCTACAAATCGCAAAAGTGGTCCGATCGATTTCATTTTTTGTGAAAAAAACCTCTATCAGGAAGAGACGAAGCCTATTGAAATTGAGCAGGGTCGGAAAATTCCAAGTGGGTTTTTCAAGAAGATTTTCCGAAAAACACGGTTCGCTTTAAAACGACATATCTCGTGAACAAATAGACTAAATCCAAATTTGAGAAATGCACCGTATGCCTCTTTGATGACGCAACAAATTATCATTCAGTCATCATTTCGTGCATCCATCGGAAACTGGAAAAACAAATGAAAACCCAAACATCAAAATTTGAAATCCTTTTAATTCAATATATATCGAAAACAAATGGAAAAATCGAAAATTATCAAGAGTGCAATGTTATCCACTGGAACATTCCCTACAAATCATTTTCCATAATTTTTTCTGTGAACCCAATAGTACAGGAAATAAAGTGAAAAATATGAAAAAAAAAATTTTAACGACCCATAGGGTACTATGAAGATATATTGAAAAACATAGATTATCGATAGATGAAGCTCATCTACCTCCACTGAGGCATGGAATATTTTTTCATTTTGTTGATTGGAAGATGGAACAAAAGTGTTGAAAATTTTATTCTCAGATAATTCCAAATATCTCGAAAACAACTGAAAATATCTGAAAATGTTATAGAACCAAAATTATTCCTTTTGATAAAATCCACAAAAAATCCTCATAACATTTTTTTCTGAATTTAATAGTTCGGGAGATACGATGAAAAAACTAAAAAATTTACAAGTTCCTAGATTATCACTTGCTAATAGAAAACGAAACAAAAAACAAAAGGAAGTAAAAAAAGCACACTCGACTGTCTTGATTTTTTTCCCATAAACTCTGTACCTAGCTCACTCTACTGTCTTTATTTTTGCCAATAAACTAGGTACGGGCTAAGTACGTAGTTTGTACGAAAAATCTCCAGTTCTCTGAACTCTCATAGCGTCGTATACACATCATTGGTGCCCAATGATAGTTTCAATATGAAAATATGCTCATGATATGGTGCCATGGCCTCAACTTCCATCTTACATGAGCAATGATGAAATATCATCTGCTTTTATAGCGTCGTATAAATTATCTGACCTCTATACTTAAATCTAATACCTAATGAAAACTACATCTTTCAAAAACTAGGTACCTCACTTGTTATACGACGCTATACATAGTGGAGTATACTACGGCCGTGCCAAAAATGCTATCTCGGAAACTAAGCGAGATAGAGGTATAGTTGCTTTGGAGAAAATGATCCCCATCGAATTTTGAGCAACTTTGGTTTTTGTGTGTGGTCTGTCTGTCTGTCTGTCTGTACTCTGTGTTAATCATAAATCGATATATCTCCGGAACCCTTTGACATATCGACTTGAAATTTTGCCATCTTATTGTACTCAAAACAATATTATGTCATTAAAATATGAAGGAAATCGGAAAACTCTAAGGTGGTTTTTCCGGGTTTTTTCGATTTTTCACCGGAAGTTCCTTGTAATCACTCTACAAATCGCAAAAGTGGTCCGATCGATTTCATTTTCTGTGAAAAAAACCTCTATCAGGAAGAGACGAAGCCTATTGAAATTGAGCAGGGTCGGAAAATTCCAAGTGGGTTTTTCAAGGAGATTTTCCGAAAAACACGGTTCACTTTAAAACGACATATCTCCTGAACCAATTGACTAAATCCAAATTTGAAAAATGCACCGTATGCCTCTTTGATGACGCAACAAATTATTATTCGACCATTTTTTTCGTGCATCCATCAAAAAATGGAAAAACAAATGAAAATCAAAACATCAAAATTTGAAATCCTTTCAATTCAATATATATCGAAAACAAATGAAAAAATCGAAAATTATCAGAAGTGCAAAGTTATCCACTGAAACATTTTCTACAAATTATTCTCCATAATTTTTTCTGTAAACCCAATAGTACAGGAAATAAAGTGAAAAATATGAAAAAAAAAATTTTAATGATCCATAGGGTACTATGAAGATATATTGAAAAACAAAGATTATCGATGGATGGAGCTTATCGACTCCCACTGAACCATGAAATATTTTTTCATTTTGTTGATTGGAAGATTGAACAAAAGTGTTGAAAATTTTATTCTCAGATAATTCCAAATATCTCGAAAACAACTGAAAATATCTGAAAATGATATAGAACCAAAATTATTTGTTCTGATAGAATCTACAAAAAATCCGTATAACATTTTTCTCTGAATTTAATAGTTCGGGAGATACGATGGAAAAACTAAAAAATTTACAAGTTCCTAGATAATCACTTGCCAATAGAAAACGAAACAAAAAACAAAAGAAAGTAAAAAGAGCACACTCGACTGTCTTGATTTCTTTTCCCATAAACTACGTACCTAGCTCAATCTACTGTCTTTATTTTTGCCAATAAACTAGGTACGGGCTAAGTACGTAGTTTGTACGAAAAATCTCTAGTTCTCTGAACTTTCATAGCGTCGTATTCACATCATTGGTGCCCAATGATAGTTTCAATATAAAAATATGCTCATGATATGGTGCCATGGCCTCTACTTCCATCTTACATGAGCAATGATAAAATATCATCTGCTTTTATAGCGTCGTATAAATTATCTGACCTCTATACTAATCTAATACCTAATGAGAACTACATCAGTACTAATCTGATACAAAAACTACGTACCTCACTTGTTATACGACGCTATACATAGTGGAGTATACTACGGCCGTGCCAAAAATGCTATCTCGGAAACTAAGCGAGATAGAGGTATAGTTGCTTTGGAGAAAATGATCCCCATCGAATTTTGAGCAACTTTGGTTTTTGTGTGTGGTCTGTCTGTCTGTCTGTCTGTACTCTGTGTTAATCATAAATCGATATATCTCCGGAACCCTTCGACATATCGACTTGAAATTTTGCCATCTTATTGTACTCAAAACAATATTATGTCATTAAAATATGAAGGAAATCGGAAAACTCTAAGGTGGTTTTTCCGGGTTTTTTCGATTTTTCACCGGAAGTTTCTTGTAATCACTCTACAAATCGCAAAAGTGGTCCGATCGATTTCATTTTTTGTGAAAAAAACCTCTATCAGGAAGAGACGAAGCCTATTGAAATTGAGCAGGGTCGGAAAATTCCAAGTGGGTTTTTCAAGGAGATTTTCCGAAAAACACGGTTCGCTTTAAAACGACATTTCTCCTGAACCAATAGACTAAATCCAAATTTGAAAAATGCACCGTATACCTCTTTGATGACGCAACAAATTATCATTCAACCATTTTTTCGTACATCCATCGGAAAATGGAAAAACAAATGAAAGTCAAAACATCAAAATTTGAAATTCTTTCAATTCGATATATATCGAAAACAAATGGAAAAATCGAAATTCATCAGAAGTGCAAAGTTATCCACTGAAACATTTCCTACAAATCATTTTCCATAATTTTTTCTGTAAACCCAATAGTACAGGAAATAAAGTGAAAAATATGAAAAAAAATATTTTAACGACCCATACGGTACTATGAAGATATATTGAAAAACAAAGATTATCGATAGATGAAGCTCATCGACTTCTACTGAACCATGAAATATTTTTTCATTTTGTTGATTGGAAGATGGAACAAAAGTGTTGAAAATTTTATTCTCAGATAATTCCAAATATCTCGAAAACAACTGAAAATATCTGGAAATGTTATGGAACCAAAATTATTCCTTTTGATAGAATCTACAAAAAACCCGTATAACATTTTTCTCTGAATTCGATAGTTCGGGAGATACGATGAAAAAACTAAAAAATTTACAAGTTCCTAGATAATCACTTGCCAATAGAAAACGAAACAAAAAACAAAAGAAAGTAAAAAAAGCACACTCGACTGTCTTGATTTTTTTTCCATAAACTACGTACCTAGCTCACTCTACTGTCTTTATTTTTGCCAATAAACTAAGTACGGGCTAAGTACGTAGTTTGTACGAAAAATCTCCAGTTCTCTGAACTTTCATAGCGTCGTATACACATCATTGGTGCCCAATGATAGTTTCAATATAAAAATATGCTCATGATATGGTGCCATGGCCTCTACTTCCATCTTACATGAGCAATGATAAAATAACATCTGCTTTTATAGCGTCGTATAAATTATCTGACCTCTATACTAATCTAATACCTAATAAAAACCACATCTATACTAATCTGATACCTTTCAAAAACTACGTACCCCACTTGTTCACATATTTGCGCTACAGAAAGACCAAATATCATGTCTTTTTCAACTGTCAAATGTGATTTGATATTATAGCACTAACGAGTAGTAGGGTTAGTAAAGCTAGAGCTTAATATTCTAGATCTTTCTCACTTCACTCTCGAAGTAAACATGACATTGCAATTAGAATGATGATTGAATAAAAAAAATTGCCTCCAAGTTTTTTGAGTTGAATTCCTCAAATGCAATGAAATTCGATTCATGTCCCATTGTCAAGTTTATTACGACTCAAAAAAATGATTGAGTGTTATTCGGTGAGATAATTCGATTGATGCTCCAATCACCTTATCATAGATGGATTTTTCAATTCCCTTACTTCAAATCGCGACATTCTGTCAGATAATACTATTCTGACAATACAAGATTGACAAAGATTGACATAGTTGTTACACTATACAGAACCTTATGATCGACATGAGATATCTCAGAACTCAATATTCCATACCCATATTCCTTAATAAAAATTGAAAACTGATTCCGAATTGAATAAACACTGCTCTAGCGAATGGAGTACTTATTTCCAATATCGAATGTACTTTTGGCATTTTTGGCATCATTTCAAAAAAAATTATCTCATTTTCAGAGGAATATCTGCGAGAATAGCGATAACGACATGGTGGTTCTTCTGCATGATATTGATGAGTTGTTATATAGCAAATTTAACGGCATTCACCAACCTTTCCACTCTAGATTCTTCCATAAATAATGTGGAAGATCTTGCTCGACAGTCTCGTATAAAATATGGTTTGCTGGAAGGTGGGTCTACAGAATCCTTCTTCGAAAACTCCAACTATTCTACTTACCAAAGGATGTGGTCGAATATGGAACAAAGGAGACAAGAGAATTTTGTTATGTCTAACTATGAGGGAGTTGAGAAAGTTAGTGAGTCGCGAAATGGCCTGTATGCTTTCCTTATGGAATCTACGCAGATCGAATATGTATTGGAGACTCATTGTGATTTGAAACAAGTTGGTGATTGGCTAGACAGCAAGAGTTATGGTATTGCAATGCCTTTGAGTGAGTTTTTGTCAACATTGGATTTAATGCTTTTATATTCCATATTTTCCAAATGGCTTGCTATCCAAAGAGAATGGCATACACTCTTATAGCTAATTCCAGATCTAGTTCAAACCTTTATAGTGGGGCCAACCTACACTGTGCCCGTCTAGAATCCGCTTTCCCGCTACTAATGTTTAAACCACCTATATCGCAACGAAATTCAGAAGACTTGAACATGACATAAAAACTCAATATCTCATGAGAATATTACAGCTCATAGTTTCAAACTGACGACTGAGTGCCATCTTCAATATTCTTTTGAGTCGAACATTCGGTATATAATGATATATTTTCGAAATGTTTCCATAATATGCGTGTGGACTAATATTTTGTTTATTGCTTAGATGAAATCATTACTAAAATACTTCTCAATTTCAAATTTTCCCGAATTTTCTTGGTCGATTTCGAGGTGCCAAAATCATCATTATAATGTGACGGTAATTTTCAAGCGACTAGAAATTCACAGCGAGTGAAAACTGACGTCACGATGTCGAAAGTAGGGACAGTTGCCATGTGTTGGAATACGAATGAGAACTTCATAAATATTAGTTATTCAATGATTCATATGAATTCTCAATCATGTGTTGGTGATATTCCTAATTAGCAATATCAAATCAATTATCTCAAAATTTTCCCTCATCTATTGTGGCTTATTGCTTATAATACATTTGTGTAGATAATAATAATTATAATAATTCACACTCGAGGACATTCGAACTGGTAAACGTAACAACACGGCACACGAATTGTCAATTCTCAGAATGCAAGGTTTACTTTGGTTTATTATGTATGAAAAATATCTGGGAATGCTGGTTCAAAATAGTCAAGAATGAACTATATCATAGCTTTCTCCTATTATGTTCTATTTATCGACGACAGGACCCTAATATGTTTTTGATACCTTGATTTTTTTTAATTCATGACTTGATAATCTTGCTTCATGAGTGGAAATGGAAGATTATATGACCACACGGTCGTTCGAAATGGGATCTGAATTGCAACGAATTTAAACAACGCATATATAGACTCATTATTCCTATAAAAAAAGCGTTAGAAGTGTTGCAAAAATTAATTTTGGTCCCCAACGACACAGTGGAGAAACTGAATAACAATAATTCATTATCAGTTCACTCGACCATCATTCTCAACATTTCTATCTAATATACTCTGTTCCTCAATTCAATAGTCTTGGAAATAATACCATTCGGAAGGGACCTAACCTAACCCAATACCTCGATTGTTGCATTCAACAAACTAATATTTTGAGCTTGAATGTCATCAAACCAAATCAGTTTGGAAATTATGATCAGATTCTATTTAAAAATGGTATCTGAGTTTTATGGGGTCGGCAATTTTGATTCTCAGAATTGGCGAATGAGAGATGGCGACTTCAATATGGTGGACGAATTTTTTAATAATTAGGATCTGAATCCATTCAAAATTTGTATCCGGGAGTTTCTGGGGTCGGAGATTATGATTTTTTTGTCAAAATGGGGAAATTCAAGATGGCGGATCCAATATGGAGAATAAGTATCGTATTATGATCCGATTCTATTCAAAATTGGTATCTGAGGATTTTATGGGTTGGAAATTGTGATGCCCCCATCAAATTTGAGACATTATAGGAGGCGGCTCCAAAATGGCGGATGGGTTTTGTGATCATGGTCCGATGATATTCGAAATTGCATATTCAAGAAAGCTTGTCTTCAAAAATGATGTCATTCATGCTCGCTGCTTCCTAAACAAACTTGATGGAGAACAACATTCGAGTTTCTGTTTGTGTTCGAAAATATTATTTTTCTACTAGTAATTTCTCGAGAACTAATAAATCCAGGAGTGCAGTATAGTAGAGAAACTCTTAAGAATTATCGCGGGAGATTTCAAAAACTCAATGACATGCGGGGTGTTTCATTTGTGCAAATTATTCAGGAAAAAATTATTCAAACTGGCACTCAGCCAAAATTTCAAATCTTGCTGTCGTTTTTCCAAAAATTCATAGGGAGAAACGGATTCAAGACGGGCACTGTATGATATTTTGTACCTTCCTAGTGCATTTGTGCAAATTATTCAGGAAAAAATTATTCAAAATGGCACTCAGCCACCATTTCAAATCTTGCTGTCGTTTTTCCAAAGATTCATAGGGAGAAACGGATTCAAGACGGGCACTGTATGATATTTTGTACCTCCCTAGTATCAGGATACTTGTTCTGTGATTTATTTCAATCAACACAACTCCCTTCGACCCAAAATAAAAGTATATCAGTATCTCGGTATCCATTCGCTGATATACCTCAACTTATTCTATTTAAAATAACCTGTTCTGAATACATATCATTTTAGACGCTCCCTATAGAACTGCTGTGAATGGAGCAATTTTACGAATGCAAGAATCCGGACAACTAGCGGATTTGAAGCACAAATGGTGGGTGCAAAAACAGGCTGAAAGATCATGTGCAGCAGTAAGTTGATATATATTATCCTAGGAGATTAAATGATTGAACATATTTTTCTAGGGGAGAGAATACAATGAAAAACGGGGCTCATACGAATTAACATTGATGGACATCATTGGGATCTTTCTAGTCATATTGTTTGGCATTGCCCTAGCATTAATTCTGACCATTTTGACATTTCTCTGGGATATTAGGAAAATTTCCAAGAAACAAAAGGTAATACTCTATTTTTTCTTGTTTTGGATGTTTGATAAATTGATATTCATCATACAGGACGTGGAATGTACGCTTGAATGAAGCGAGAAATAATTGATATTTTCTTCAAATAGAAAATGCGAATTCTCAATGTATTTCTTTATATACAATATATTATATCCACTCTTCAATGTTCATAATAATATCTGAGAATATTACTTTTCGATACTATAATTGTCTATTTTGATTGTGCATCTATATTTTCAGTTACCATACTGCAAAATCTTGATGGAAGAACTCAAATTTGCAACATTTATTTGGTCTTCGAAGAGAAGATATAGACTTCAAGAATGATCTATCTAATCATAGGATTGGTGAGTTCGCTCGATGAGGAAAAGTGTGACCTACAGCCTCCGAAGATATCATATTCATTCTCTGATTCGAATTTCTTTCAGAGTCCAGAACGAATTCTCATTTTTTATTATTTATCTCAACCTCTTGAGGCCCGAAATATTATACAGAATATATAGAATTATCAAAATAGGTTAATTTGGATGAAACATAATTAATAAAATATAATAAATATAAAATATACATGAAATAGTTTTTATTTGAAACAAAAAAAAGAGTTGAATGTACCAAGAATAGAACTATGGTCAACTATGGAACTCAGTGGAACAATTTCTATCCCAGTTGAAACATAAATCGATTCCAAATTTCACAGGGATTTTTTCGAGATACCGGCGCTCAAAGGCAGCCTTCCGATTCCTTTGCCAATGGGTGCACTCCGGTAGGCTACTACGTCTCGTTTTCCTGAAATTTACGAATTTTCACCACAGGTTCGTTCATTTCGACATCGAATTAGTCTATGTCAATTTTTTCAGATTTTTAATAGGCAAAAAAAAAATTTTCATTTCCTCACCTGAGACTTCAGTACGATATAGTCACCGAGCTATCTCCGGACGGCCGAAAGTGCTATAAAACGGCGGAAATCCTTGAGAATTATTGCTTTCTCAATGGAAAATGACACGCTGAACGAATGAGACCATGATCAGCCTGATAGGACATTGCCAATGGGTGCACTCCGGTAGGCTACTACGTCTCTATTACCCAAAATTGCCTAATTTTCATCACAGATTCGTTCATTTCGCCATCGAATTAGTATATGTGAATTTTTTCAGATTTTTATTAGGCCAAATGAAAATTTTCATTTCTCCACCTGAGACTTATCAGTACGATATAGTCACCGAGCAATTATCGGAACGTCCAAAGTGCCAGAAAACAGCAAAAATTCACGCGAATCATTGCTTTCGAAGAAGAAAATGACACGCTGATTTGAATGAAACCATGATCAGCCCGATAGGACAGATAGTTTACGAGATATCGGCGCTCAAAGGCAGCCTTCCGATTCCATTGCCAATAGGTGCACTCCGGTAAGCTACTACGTCTCCAATTTCCAGAATTGCCTAATTTCGACCACAGATTCGTTTATTTCGACATCGAATTAGTCTTTGTGAATTTTTTCAGATTTTCATTAGGCCAAATAAAAATTTTCATTTCCCCACCTGAGACTTCAGTACGATATAGTCACCGAGCTATCTTCGGACGGCAGAATAAAGTGACAGAAAACGGCGAAAATTCACGCGAGTCTTTGCTTTTTCAGTAGAAAATGACACGCTGAATCGAATGAGACCATGATATAGGACAGATAGTTTTCGAGATATCAGCGCTCAAAGGCAGCCTTCCGATTCCTTTGCCAATAGGTGCACCCCGGTAGGCTACTACGTCTCGTTTTCCTGAAATTCACGAATTTTCACTACAGATTTGTTCATATCGACATCGAATTAGTCTATATGATTTTTTTCATATTTTCAATAGGCCAAATAAAAATATTCATTTCCTCACCTGAGACTTCAGTACGATATAGTCACCGAGCTATCTTCGGACGGCCGAAAGTGCCAGGAAACGGCGAAAATTCGTGCGAGTCTTTGCTTTCCCAGTAGAAAATGACACGCTAAATCGAATGAGACCATGATCAGCCCGATAGGACAGATACTTTCCGAAATATCGGCGCTCAAAGGCAGCTATCCGATTTCTTTGCCAATAGGTGCACTCCGGTAGGCTACTACGTCTCAATTTCCTGAAATTCACGAATTCCCACCACAGATTCGTTCATTTCTACATCGACTCAGTCTATGTAAATTTTTTCAGATTTTTAATAGGTCAAATAAAAATTTTCATTTCCCCACCTGAGACTTCAGTACAATATAGTCACCGAGCTATCTCCGGACGGCCGAAAGTGCTAGAAAACGGCGGAAATCCTTGAGAATTATTGCTTCCCCAATGGAAAATGACACGCTGAATCGAATGAGAACATGATCAGCCCGATAGGACAGATAGTTTTCGAGATATCGGCGCTCAAAGGCAGCTTTCCGATTTCATTGCCAATGGGTGCACTCCGGTAGGCTACTACGTCTCTATTACCCAAAATTGCCTAATTTTCATCACAGATTCGTTTATTTCGCCATCGAATTAGTATATGTGAATTTTTTCAGATTTTTATTAGGCCAAATGAAAATTTTCATTTCTCCACCTGAGACTTCAGAACGATATAGTCACCGAGCAATTATCGGACGGTCCAAAGTGCCAGAAATCAGCAAAAATTCACGTGCATTATTGCTTTCCCAATAGAAAATGACACGCTGAATCGAATGAGAACATGATCAGTCCGATAGGACAAATAGTTTTCGAGATATCGGCGCTCGAAGGCAGTCTTCCGATTTCATTGTCAATAGGTGCACTCCGGTAAGCTACTACGTCTCCATTTTCCAAAATTGACTAATTTCAATCACAGATTCGTTTATGCCGACATCGAATTAGTCTATGTGGATTTTTGCAGATTTTTAATAGGCCAAATGAAAATGTTCATCTCCCCACCTGAGACTTTCAGTAAGATATAGTCACCGAGCTATCTTCGGACGGCCGAAAGTGCCAGAAAACGGCTAAAATTCCCGAGAATCATTGCTTTCCCAGTAGAAAATGACACGCTGAATCGAATGAGACCATGATCAGCCCGATAGGACAGATAGTTTTCGAGATATCGGCGCTCAAAGGCAGCTTTCCGATTTCATTGCCAATAGGTGCACTCCGGTAGGCTACTACGTCTCAATTTCCTGAAATTTACGAATTCCCACCACAGATTCGTTGATTTCGACATCGAATTAGTCAATGTGAATTTTTATTCAGATTTTTAAATGCCAAAAAAAAAATTTCATTTCCCCACCTGAGATTTCAGTACGATAAGTCACCGAGCTATCTTCGGACGGCCGAAAGTGCCAGAAAACGGCTAAAATCCCCGAGAATCATTGCTTTCCCAGTAGAAAATGACACGCTGAATCGAATGAGACCATGATCAGCCCGATAGGACAGATAGTTTTCGAGATATCGGCGCTCAAAGGCAGCTTTCCGATTTCATTGCCAATAGGTGCATTCCGGTAGGCTACTACGTCTCCATTACCCAAAATTACCTAATTCTCACCATAGATTTGTTTATTTCGCCATCGAATTAGTCTATGTGAATTTTTTCAAATTCTTAATAGGCCAAATAAAAATTTTCATTTCCCCACCTGAGACTTCAGTACGATATAGTCACCGAGCTTCAGACGGCCGAAGGTGCCAGAAAACGGCGAAAATTCACGTGAATTATCGCTTTCCCAGCTTATGAGAAATTATATAAGGTTGACAAATGACAAAGTGACACTTTTTCAGTATCCTACATTACCATGACACCTCGCGTCAAACAGTGCGCGAAGTGAAACATACCTACTTCGCACATTGCATGTAAACTCTAGGGGATTTTTCTATTTTAACCTTTATGGTCTGCAATCAAAGAAATCATTCATTCCTAAACGTTCAACAATAATTAAGGCTTTTCATTCCAGTTCAACACTATTTTTAAAAGTTGAAAGCTGCTTTTATTTAACTTGCACTGTATGTTTGTTGTATGTATGTTCGGTTGGAATCTTTGAACTCAATTTTGAAGTAGAAATCTTCAACCGATTGAGCTGAAATTTTGTATACACGTTCAGTTTGGATGACAATGCACGATAAGGTGTGTCACGTTATTCTAAATCCAATATAGCGGGCTATCCAAGATGGCGGAATAGCTATTTTTGATATACTTTTACAATATGGGTATCAAATGAAAAGGCTCGTTGAGAGTTACTCGAAAAATGATGTGACGTTGTTGTGTTTATGGTACACAAGTAACCAGTAGGTTCTCAGAAGAAATACTATATATTATAGATAATATGATACATGAAAAATATGTAATCTGAAGTGACATTAACATTAACAAAACTGTCTAGTGACGATTGTCTTCTTTTATAACTGAGTGTTCTGTTTAATATTTTGATCGGGACATAACACTCCTTCCCCCACTTCTGTAGAATTTTCGACGATTGTGGATGAAATACTATAGTCTTCCAAATATTTCGGACATCGTATAGTCCTTTGAGGTCTGGATGAATCCACAATCTGATCTCTTGGAATTGATTCTTGCATAGGCTCGTCTGGATGTCTGGTGGAAGGAATGCTCACGGTTGACGGTTCCTCTCGAACATGTTCTTCTGTTCGCAATCCTTCGCAATCTGAATCCATTAGCCTACGGCGAATTTGGTCTGTATGTCTGTGAAGAACTACTCCATCTGTTGTCTTTAATCGATATGATACTGGACCTAGAGACGTGTCTACAATGGCTGGACACCATTTATCTCCTAGGCCATAATTTCTAGCATATACAGGAGCGCCTTCTTGATATGCTCTAGGAGCAATGTCAGTATTCGACTTATCCTCTTGTTTTTTTTTCACTTCCTGCAAGAAATCTGGATGAATGGTATCTAGCATTGTGCGAAGTTGTCTTGACATCAATAGTTCGGCTGGGCTTTGACCTGTCGTAGAGTTTGGAGTAATGTGTTGTTGCAATAAGAATCTTCCCAGCTTCGTTTTCATGTCCCCACTTGATAACTTCTTAAGTGCTTCCTTAGTTGTCTGTACCATGCGTTCTGCCTGACCGTTGGATGCAGGATGATATGGCGCTACCCTCGCATGCCTTATCAGGTTATTTTTTAGGAATTCCTGGAAATCTTGCGATGTGAATGATTTTGCATTGTCAGACACAATAACTTGCGGTACACCATGGGTAGCAAATAGTTCTCTTAATACCGCAATAGCTGCATTTGATGCAGTAGAAGGCACTATGCGCACTTCCAACCATTTAGAGTAAGCGTCAACGACAATAAAGAAGATGTGGCCCAGAAAAGGACCCGCATGATCTATATGAAGTCTCAACCATGGTGCTCTGGCATATTCCCAAGGGTGTAGAGGAGCTTTTGGAGGCATTGACCTGTTTTGCTGACAAGTTTGACACTTCTGGACCATGATCTCGATTTCGTTGTCTATACCTGGCCACCAAACGTGTGACCTAGCTAGCGCCTTCATCTTGACTATCCCAGGATGTAGAGTATGCAGAATATCCAGTATTTGTTCCCTACCCCCTGGAGGGATAA